TTTATATTCTAACAAAAATTAAAAGATGACCATTAAAACAAACAATAATGAAAGATTACAAATAATTTTACTTACTTCGACTGTCACTCACATGAATACACTGACATTTTAACGGTTTCAACGTCAAAACGACGGCACTGTAAAATTAGGTGTACAAGGATTACAGTTTCCATTATTCCGACTACTAGAATTAAATGTTTAAAGATTTCACAGATTAATAATTTCAATGGGTAAAATTGTACCCATGGCCACTGAAAGGGTTAAATGAAAAAATAATTCGCTTTTTTTATAAAAATACTACAATTTTATATGATGAACCATAATTTTAATTAATTTTAATTTGATTTATAAGAAATAAAATACATAAAATCTTAAATAAAAATTAATTGATATTTTATTTTTTTTTTTATAAAATTGGTAAACTAAACTTTGTTTTAAATTAACATATTTAATAGTACACAAATGAAAATGCAGCAAATTACATTTTTTTTTTTTACAAAATTTATCCTATTTTTACGAAGTTATTTTATGTTTTTAAATTATTTATAATTCAGTTTATTTTCCTACTAATTACCCAAATTTTTAATTTTAGAAATCAAGTTTTAATCAATTTAGTGCTTAATAACAGATATTAACTCCATAAAGCTTATTTATTAAATAATTACAAATAAATATTTTCTGCTTAGGACCGTTTTCACAATGAATACTAAAAGATCCATCTAATGGGATAATTAAGTTCATAAGAAGGGCCGATTTTATAATGGAAAGAAAGTCCTTTAACTAATAGGTAAGTTAAGTCTATAAGACCTTACAGACTTATAGACTTACCTTTGAATATTCATTAGAAAATCGGTCTTTATGACCATAATTGTCCCAATAGCTATTTAATCTATTAATATTCATTAAGAAATCGGTCCTTAATGATTTTTAACTAATTTATAAAAAAGAACTTTCAATTAAATATAATTGTTCGTATATATAATTCTGGCTGCACTAAAATCGGTTCTGTAAATGATGATTCCGAAATAAAAAACTTCATTGGCTGAACTGTGAATATGATTGTCGTTAACAACGAATTTAACTTTATTATATTTTTCATGAATAAATAATCTATTTATTTAGTTTTAACTCTTTTTTGTAACTTTTTATAACATTTTTAATGCTTAATTTATTGAAGACTGTAAATGAGAGTATCGTGTTTTGTGATAAATAAATATTGAATAATGACTTCAAAAAAGAAGACTGTTGTAATTTCGATATTTTTTTTTTATGTTTAACAAACTTACGTTCTACCGTAATTAAATCAAAAAACTATTATATTACATACCTTGTCCACACTACCCTGAGAAATGGTACTAGACGCAAAAAATAATAATTTTATAGATATTTAAATAGTATTTCACTACACACTGTACTCCTTTAAATTAGTATCAATTTTTGGGTTTTTTGAAGCTCACGACCATTTAAAAAATATTTATGTTGCCCCTACTTCAACCAAGGTCTTTAAAACACGTATTTGATTTTAGGACAATTAAAATTTTAGTAGCAAACAATGCTTTTGTATCTCACATTATGAGAGAACATTAAATATTCGAGAATTAACATTAACTAAACAAACAGAGTGTAATTTAACTACTAGATATATTAATTAATGGGCATACATATTATTTTTCTCACAAGTTTATTTTTAAAGTAGGTATTTTGAATTAGTTAATGTTTTGGTTGGTACACAATGTTAAAAAAATAGTAAACTTACAATTAAGTAAAGCTGTCAAGGTTGCTAATCAAATTTAAAAAAAAATATATTCCAGTTTTGATTATCTAAATGGTCGTATTATTTTTGTATGTTGTTTTTAAGATTCATCAAGTTAACAACAGAATCTGTTATGAAAAAATGTATTTTGTACTTGGGAAAATATAAATTTAATAAAAAGTTAAATCAACATACTTTATCACTAGCTATATTATTATTTCAATTGTCATGCAATTTTTTAAATACAATGTAACAAAAATATAATTTATCGCTTATTCTAAATACCTATGTAGTTTCTTTAATAACTTGAATGTGAATTCTGTGGACAAGGTATAGGCAAATAACAATACACCCTAGAATTTTTAATGTATGGTACAAACTCTACACAACAGTTTTCTATATTTATTTTATTATATCACTCACAATGTAATAGTTTCCTACATTTTAGTTCATTAACAAACGATAATAGCTATCATCTCATTTATTGCTATAAAGATCTGGTACACAAGCTTGTCATGTTATGTCATTACTTTTGTACGGTAACTGTAATTTATTGAGCTATCAAATTATAAAAATTTCACCTTACGGTAAATTTTTGTAATATAATCTATTGAATACAACTCTTGATATCGAGATTATCGATGATCGCATAAGTAAATGCATTCAACCTTTTGTGATATAATAATTTTTGACAATACGTTTCGTGCATGAGCTTATAATTTCGATACCATATGTACTTTATGTAATAACATTTTTGTACTTTAATTAATTAATATGTGATACTTTTATTTATTAAAGAATGGGAATTCTGCAAATTTAATACTTATATCGATTGCGTGGCTTTAGTTGAATATACCTAAAATTTTGCAATTCCTTTAAGCAATAGATTGTCTTTCTAACTACTATACAATGTGTTTAGTATAATATGACACAAACTTTAAATATAGTTAGTTTGGACAAAAAAAAAGTTCATTTAAGTCAATTTACCTTACAGGGTGGATTTTTTTTCAATTGTTTAGGTAGTCGGCATTATGCACAATGAATACATTAGTCGGGGTTGCTTAATTTTCAATAAAGGTTAATATCCCTTTAATCTCACCAGATGAAAGTGAAAAATTCTGAATATTTTTCACGATATAAAGATTTTATAGACGAATATCTTCACTTGGGACATGCACGATATGTTTTACTGTCAAAAGTTAATGAGCCAAAGAATCTCAAATATTTTTTACTACATCACGCTGTACTGCGTGAAGATGTCATTACTACAAAATTAAGAGTAGTTTTCGATGCATCTCTACAGGAATTTCATTGAACGACATTATGCTCACTGGTCCCCATTTCCAAGATAATTTATATATTTTACTTAAATTTTGAAGTTTTAAACACTCATTGACAGCTGACATTTAAAAAATGTATAGATACATTAAAATTAACCCGTCTTAAACTTTTGGCATGATAACCCTAGAGAGATAACCCTAGAGAACCCTTGAAATGTATAGAGCTTCTCACTGTCACTTATGGTACCAATTCTGCTCCATTTCTTGCACCAGAGTTCTTAAAAAACTTGCTCTAGACAACCTTTTCAATTTCCACTAGCATCACAAACATGTCAATGATCTTTTATCAGGTTGCAATACACCCTCAGACTTGGTGTAATTTCATAGTGAACTTGAAACCACTTTAGTTTCACATGGATTTCACTTACACAAATGGTGTACGAATTCAGCGGAATTTCTCCCAAATCTCACAACACAAATTCTACAAGAGATTGATATAAACGTTGATAACTGTCTAGGATTAAAATGGAACGCTGTTTCTGACTTTCTTCAAATTTCAATTCCTCAAATTGCCAAAAACAATTTGAAATAATTTTGTTAAGCTTGGAAAATAATATCTACATAAATAGTTATAGCAAATTGAGTACCTTATTATATTGTTACTAGTATATTTTAAATACATTTACTCAAAAAATTATTGAGTGATTGTAAACATATTTTCTCCACCATGTAGGTAACTTCTTAAGCAAGCAAAATTGTACCAAGGTAAATTTACTTAAATTAACCTATTTTTGTTAAAATTAACTAAATCTAATGTTTGGCCCATTCTTTACTAAACACTCTGTACAATTAATATATGTGACTCAAATAGAAATAATCGATTTATTCTCAAAATTCGATACTCAGCATTATAATATTATTTTTCATCAGCATTTTACAAGATTGTAAAGTATTATTAAACGCGTTTGAAAAATTTATATTAAAAAACTTATTTCAATAGCATTTTCCACTATTTATGGTTAGGTACATCTTCTAGCCATATTGTCTTCGTCGATTGCTTCAATACTTGTATCAGAGAGTAAACATGTGTATGTTAATATTATGGCTGTTCTGTTTGTTTGCGTCGGCATCAAGATAGAGAGAGATACAAATCGAGTCTATAAGGAACTTTTCAATAACATCGCTTTTTTATATTTGTCTTTTTTTACATAATTATGTATAACCATTATTTTATGTGTGAAAGCCAATGATTAATTTTAGGAGCATTTGCAGTTAAATAATAAAGTATATTTTCACTTATTTCACCTTTTTTTAATAATTGTATCTCTACCTTGGGGCAGTATTCAAAAAAGAAATGATACTACATTTGTTTTTAACAACTTTATACTAAAACAATAATTTTTAGTAATTGAAAATATATTTCTTAAGTCAAGATCGATAATTTTGGAAAACTCAATAACAGTATCAGTATCAGAATTAAGACCCAAGGCCATTAAAGTGTACTAAAATAAATATATTTATTTTCAATTTATCTTATTGATTCTTCCTCTCATGTTATTGGTTTAAAATGCATTTCTAGGTATTCATTACGACAAATTTATGAATTATATTAAAAAAAAATCCTTGTTACAATCTAATTTGCTAAGCCTAATCCATTTTAGAATGTTAAGGATCTAAGTAAGCTATCTTGTTTTCATTAAAAGCTCAATCAGGAAGTATTTAAAATAATTTAAATTGTTTACCTCTTAAAATTACTAACTCAATTGCAACGTAATGTGATATGTTTGGAAAACTTAACACATATAAAATAATGGTGCTTTTAATTTAACTTACTCTGTAAAGTTGGAACCCGAAGAGAGACCAAAGATAAAAATTTTACTTAACTAAAAAATGAGAAATATTTCCTTATTTCCTAGATGTACTAAATCGTTAATAATCTTTTTAATATAACAAAATTTGTTTTTCAGGAACGTTCCTTTTGAGACTCGATAATTGTAGTTTAGAAAAAAAAGTTCCCGGCCCCTCTCACTTCTTGTAGCCAACATCCCAATCGAGCGTCTAGAATGGCGCCGCTCATTGTCATTTTTTTTGTGAGTCAGTATGAATCTAGTCATGTTTGTTACTATTTAAAATATTTTATAAATGTTGATTAATATACGACATTCCTATTTCAAATTGTGTTTTATTTTCTTTTTTCCTTAAGTAGATTTTTTCAAAAACTGTCATTAAAAATTGGTTTTTATATGAGAATTAAGTGTCAAAACAACAGTTTTTGTTAGCACAACACAATGTAAAATTACGTACATCTTAAGTCACAAATACAAGAAAGAGAACATCCCATCAATCGTCACAGATGAGCGCATAATAGCCTAACGCGGGACCTCAAAGAAATAACTAAATGGCAATACTTTATTAAATATATAAATTCCACTACAATCATTTTTACAGAGTCAGATCTCCTAAAAAGTATTAAAAATTCGGAAAAATCACAGCAAAGCCGATAATACACATCTTTTGTACAGCGGGAGGTACAGAAAAGGACAACATCATAGAAGACCTTATGGTAACATATGAAATACTAGCAAACACAGACCCCTCTATCTTGTAGTAACAGATCCGGCTATTATATTAGACTTTCTTAATAAAACTGTAAGGGTTATAAAAAACACCCGTATTACCTGGCACACAGTTTATAGCTAAAGAATCAGTTCGCTCACTCTGCGTCGGCACTTTTGATCTCAATGTTCCAGTTTATACATTGCGCAACTCGGATTTGTATCCCTGGCGCATACAGAATCAAATCATAATAGGCCAAGAGCTCACTGTAAATTTTTACCGCCATCTGATAATGAAATAAAATATACCACAAATGCTTGTAAAAACATTGTACTTTACCGAATGGCACCTGTGACAATCCCAATCCTGAGCAGTGTTTTAAAAAAAAATATATTAAAAAAATCACATACGGCATGACAGCGCTAATTTTGTTTGCCCTTAAAGTTTTCCAGATAATAACATATTCAAATATATCTGGATATATATCGTTAACGGGAAACATTTTCTTCGTCTTAACATCGCACAAAAACATCTACACACGATTAGTAGGTAAAAATCATTAAAAATATGAATCAATTTTTGCTGATTTAAGATTCATTTTTACAGGTTGTCATAGAAACGACAAAAAACTACTATGATTATGGTTTAAAAGAATTGTCTAACAAGAGTTTATAATTATTATTGACTATCTCTGCCAAAGTTAGGTAAAAATATTTATAATTCAGGTTTAAAAGCTAGGTTCACAATGAATTAGGATTATAATTTTCAGAGAAAACAATTATCGCTGTCATGCCTTATGTAATTTTTTGAATACTAAATAATTTTTTTTAACCACTTTGCTCTAGATTACAGATTGGCACAGGTGCAATTTGGTAAAGTACAATGTTGTTACATGTCCTTGGAGCATATTTTATTTTGTTATCAGATGGCGGTCGTAATTTGCAGTGGGCTCTCTTACTATTACCAATTAAGCATTCCAACGACCTGTCAAACAATAGCTGTCAGTGAGAAGGTCTGGTATATCTAAGGGGGTAGAGACATAGTCTTGCATCTTGAACGTTTTTTTATTCGAAATAATAGTCACAAAGTCTGCCAATTTATGAAAAAAATGTATCTTAGTTTTATTGTGTTTGACATAAAATATTTAAATGTAATCCATTATTCATGATTTTACATATTGTAAACAGAATACATCATATGTCGCAACCCTTGGATATATCAAATCTTCCCACTGGCAGTTCATTTGTTTGGAATGCCTAATACAATATATGACAACCGTCTATATTCAAACAGCAGTCTTCTGCGCATCCTGAATTTGTATCCCTAGAGTGGATGTTATTTTGGAACATCCAATTGGTCCGAGTGAGCGAACTGATTCATTTAAGCTATAAACTGTGCCTACCAAATCCATTATTCAATGCGACAGGTATCAAGCGTAGGGTCACGTAACGTCAAACTGCGGCTGGCCCCCAAAATGCCTAAAATGCGCCGGAGATTACTTCACCAACACATGTATAAAAACTAGAGACATCCCTGCCACATGCGCAAACTGTCTAGGGGAACATTCAGCAAATTATACACAATGTGAGGCATATGTAGATAGATCGTCCAGACCGGAAGAAAGAAAACTATCACAAATGTCTAAAAAAAAAATACATCCCAGCTCCACAACCCTCCATGAATGCATGGTATAAGAGAAGAAATCCGACACCTGTAGAATTAGCAGATTTGCCTTCATTGCCGTCTAATAATATAACAATAAACCAAGAAAGAAAAGTAAAAACTCTTACAAATGAACAAGCAGGGGGCATTGATGATTTTTTGCCTTAAATAACGAATTTGCCAAATTAAATTTAATGGTAAATATAGCTGCACTCACTCGTGCTGACCGTGATCTAAATGCCTCCTTAAAAAAATGCACAACCACACCACAATATCTTATGAAGTTTAATAACTGTATGACTAACTGTTAGGATATACGCTGTTCACTGTAATATAGACTTCAGTTACTAAATAGAAGTATCTAGATATATATTTTTTTTGTTAGTTGATATTGTTAATGTCAATATAATTAATATCAGTTGTATGGTTTGCGTTCTTGCCTTTTTGTATTTCACAATAAAAGTACTTCAAAAGCCTATTATATTTTAATAGGTTATGAGCCCAGGTCATTGCTTCATTGTCACAAAAATCTGTTAAATTTACCAGTTTTTTTTGAGAAAGAAGTGGCAGTAGACATACGGAAGTAAGTAATTGTTACAATGGGTGATTGAGACGACAGTCCATCGTTTGAATGGTGCTAATTTCAAATTATGGAAATTTCATGTTCAAGCAATTTTGCGTGCCAAAGGCTTGACTGAAATTGTATCCGGAGATAAAACGATGCCAAATGATTCCAAGGAGAGAAGCGATTGGCTTAAATTAGATGGGAAAGCAATGTCAATTCTCATTACTTCTCTAGAAGAGAACCAAGCACAGTTAGTTTTAACATGTTCAAGTGCTAAAGATATTTGGGATAAACTACTTAGTATTCATGAAAAAAGAAGCGAAGTTAGTGTTATGAATCTGTATGAAGATTACTTTGCTATTAAAATAAAAGATGATGAAACAGTTGCGTCTTATGTTGCAAAAGTATCGAAACTTGCTGCAGAGATTGAAGACTAGGGAGAAAAATTATCAGATAGCATAAAGATGGTGAGAATTATAAGCAGCTTGACTCCTAAATTTAGAAACTTTAAGACTGTATGGTATAATATAAAAGAGGGACGAGACATTGGTAACCTGTTGTCTCGTCTTCAACTTGAAGAAGATCAACTTAACAAAAGTGCGGAAGAAGGTACATCGTCAGCAGCCTTTATCGCTCAGCGTAATCAGAAATATCAGAGAGCAAATAACCAAAGTGAAAGAATTCCTATTGCAGAATTAAACAAATTTACAAAGTGTCATGCATGCAATGAAATTGGTCATTGGGAAAGAGAGTGTCCCAGTAAAAGAACCAAAAGACCATTTTCAAAGAATATTTCAAACCCTAATCAATTTGCATTTACGTCAACAATTGAATCTATTTTGTATTTACCCTATGAGAACATATGGATTGCAGTCTCTGGTGCTTCAGAACACATGTCGTTTAGACGAGAATGGTTTTCAAGTTTTACTGCTACTTCTAGTGAAAAATTTTTTAAAGTTGCAATTAATGAAAAACTTCCTATTTGTGGTTATGGCACGATTGATATCGAAGTTTTGGTAGAAAATCAATGGGTAGTTAGAAAAATAGAAAATGTTCAGTTCGTTCCGGGATTAACACAGAACCTGTTTTCTACCAGTGCAGCAACAAGAAAGGGCTACTATATTGTCATATCAGTAGACTCCTGCAATATATTTGATCTCAGATAGAAAGTTGTAGCTGTGGGAGTTAAAGATGTCAATAATCAACTAAGAATGTGTTTCAGACCGGCCAATAAAATTCCAGAGGAATCAGTCAACTCAGCAAAAGTTTGTTCCTTAGAAAAGTGGCATAATCGATTAGGTCATATAAATGTGTCCGTGATCAAAAATTTGGCCAAAAATGGATTGGTTTATGGATTACAATTAGAAAACAAGTGTTCATTTTTCTAGATTAGCCCATTTTAAAGAGGTAGAAAACATCTGCTCAGAAGTGGAGAAAATAAAATATTAAATGGATATTTGGACAGTTAATATATGTGAGTCAAATAATAATCATCGGTCCAGTAGCAGGTATTAGAAAAGAATTGTCTTTAGTTTAACGTGAGCTCCGCTGAAATTTCTTGCAGTATTTTTAATGTAGCTTAACGCACGTGTAGAAGGGATCTTAAAAAATGTTGGTCCCGACCAAAGTGACGTGATTTTGTAGAATTTCCGTGGCTTCGGTGTGGTTTGCACTTTGATTTTTCAGACACATCATAATCTTAAGCTCTCTCAAAGTTTACCGAGTTATTAAAGTTTAAAGAACCTTGGTGCAATTGGCTGTATATATCATAAATTTAAGATGCAAAAACAAGTTATTTTGACTCTTGGAGTGTACCTGATATTCAATAACATAATCTCAAAACAAAATATAGAACAATAATTGCATGCGTGGTTAAAAAATTTTATTTAAAAAGATGCCTTATTATAATGTGAACAAGGTTTGAATATATTATTAATTTGTTTTATATTTTTTATAATTAACTTCTTGATAATCACCAATGATTTCTTTTTGAATGTCGTCCTTTTTGTACGCTTGTTTGTAAAAAAACCAAAAAAGAATCAAGTATATTGTACTCTGAACACTATTGAGCACACTGAGAATTAGGAAAACATTGCATCCATATATCGCTGACTGAGCTGCATGGAGTGATGTTAGAACAAGCTGTACCTAGAAGTAAAAATAGTTCAAATATGCTATTTACTATGACCTTTTATTTGAAAAAAAAAAAAAATTCATGGGTCCAAATTTTTTGAATGCATTTTTTCGAATTCTAGTTTTTAGAATCTAATTTTTCGGATCTAATTTTTCGAATTGATATTCGAAGTTTTTTTTTATGTTTGATGTAATTGTTTGTTGCCATATACTCTCTTTTTGGTTATCATAATTAATATCAATCGATATGTTTAATGGTTTAATTTTAAATCGAAAATTTGTACTTAGAGGGGTATTTTTACGTCAAAGATAAGCAATATAACGACAAAATAAACTTGAAATGCGAAGAATTTTACAAAACACGCAAAAGGAGAGCGATAACGGAAAAAAGGAAACATGAAGTAAAGGGAGAGCACAACTACACCGGAAGAAGTGAGGAGGAAGCAGAAAGCGTAAGGCAGAATATAAAAAATATATCATTAACTTTGTAATACACCCCAACATCATATTATTACTTCCGAGGCAACAAAGGCTTGTTCGGTTATAACGCGAGCAAATTTACCATCTATTGGTAGCCTGAAAGGTTACATTCGAATTCAGGGACACCAATTTAACTTTGTTTTTTGAATTAAATGATATTAAGTATGATTTTAAATCACCTTAGGTTTGGAAATACGAAAAAACGTATAAATAGATTATATATTTTTTCTTCAAGCGTATAATAATGTTTACATTATATCAAGGTACACGTGTTGTAGAAGTAGCCTATTTTTATACTAATACAATATTTTTCATTTTTGTACTAGTATAAAAAAGCACAAACCTAATGTTAAATGGCTTATGAACGTTGCAATCAAGTAGGCTGAATACTTATTTAATTTGACGTTTGTCAGTGTATGATTTAGAATATAAAAAAATAGTGTTAACCCGTTCGCTATACCTGTGTTTTTCAAGTAAAAAGAAAATGTCAGAAGAAATGCAATCAACACCTCCGGAATTGCTAGAAATAGCGAAATCTTCGATAGAAACCTTAATATCTACGAAATCGAAGAAAGTTTACGATTATGCTTACACAAAATTTGTGAAATGGAGTGAAGAAAATCACGTACATTTTTATTCAGAAAATGTTCTGATCGCATATTTTACTAATTTGTCTGAAAAATTCAAAAGTTCAACAGTGTGGTCGCAGTATTCAATGCTGAAATCAGAACTAAATATTAAACATAATGTAAAAATTGAAAACTATTCAAAATTAATTGCCTTCTTAAAACGAAAAGGTGATAATTACAAACCGAAGAAGTCAAAAGTTTTTTCTAAACAGGAGTTTGATAACTTTCTTAAGAATGCACCAAACAAGAGATATTTAGCAACTAAGGTAGGTACATAATTTTTTTAAACTGTTATTTAGTTTTACAGATATTCTATTAATTTCAGCTTTTTTATTTTAATTTTTTTATCCATACTTTTATTTAAATGCTTGAAGAAAAAATAGTATATGTCACTCGGATTAGAAGGCCCATTATATGTTTCGCCCAGTTTGCACAGCTGAGGCGTTAGCCGAAGCTGTGCAAAATTCTGGGCTCAACATATAATGTTGGCCTTCTACTCCTAGTAACATAATATACTATTAATTAAATACTTTTTAAAAATAAGAAAATGAGTGTTTCATTAAATTTAACCTAAAACTTGAAAATTTTAATATTTGACTTTTCTTTTCTAGATAATGCCAAGATTAATTAATTACTTGTTACTATTTCTCTTCAATATTTAAAAACTGGGTATTAACAGTTTAGATGTTCATTTATTTTATTCTTGAACATTTTTGTTAGAATATTAATTGCGAATGTCATTCACAATTTTGTCTTGAATCATTTATTGTGTTTTTTTAATAATCAGATTTATGGAAGTGAATAGTATTAATGGTATTAATTAAATTATTAACAAGAATGATGCTGATTTCGTAAAACCCAAGATGAAGCCTATTGATTTAAAAAAAAATGTGCATAAAATGAGCTTAAAGTATTAAAATAACATCTTCATTAAAAAAGAAAAATTATTTAAACTGGAAATTTTTAAAAAAAACAAGCTCTATAAGGAGACAACGCCTATTGGTTTGAAAAAAATCTATATAAAATGGGGGTCAAGGGGGTTTTAGAAATCTAAAACCAAAAACGATATCAACATGAAATGTTTAGTAAAAATTAAGCTCTATAAGGGAATAAATTAATAAATATATAAAAATGGGGGGATAAGGGGGGTTGAAATATTGAAAAAAATCCAAAATAAAAAACGGTATCAAATTGAAATCTTTAGGAAAAATTAAGTTTTATAATGGGATGAGGCCTATCGTGTATAACATAGAATACAAAGCATTATACAGGGTGTTAAAAAAAAGGGTCACAAAATAAAACGGGGGGTAGTATGGGCCAAAATATGCAGAAAAGTCTTAATAAACATATGTCCGTAAATGAATGGTTTCAGAGATACGGAGTGTTTTGTGTTTTGTATCATTTTTTGATTATCTTTTTTCATTCTCAAAAACTTGCTTTTCTAATCGGAGTCTACCGATGTTTTTTCATAGATACTATTTGCAGTTATTATTTTGTTGTGGGTGAATAATTTTATAAATTTTCGTTATGCCTGTTTACACTAATATTGAATTAGCTGACATGCATTTTATGTACGGTCGTGCAAATGGCAATGCATTGAAATGGAGGGAGGGCACTTTGAACATCTCATTTAACTCTATGTTGTTATTGATTGTTTATAAATATCATTGTTTTTTTATAATAATAAAAAATTGTTATAAACACAAAATGGTCCGTATCTCTGAAACCGTTAATTTGCGGTCATATATTTATTAAGACTTTTCTGCTTATTTTGGGTCATACTATTTACCATTTCATTTTGTGACACTTTTTTTTAACACCCTGTATACCTTTATTCTTGTTTTATTAAATACATTACGCATTTATAGATATGACCTTTTTATTTTATGATAAAAAATGGTCAAAAATAGTTTCTTCATTATAATTTTAGTACTTTTCAAAACTTATATCAAGTTTTAAAAACAATTCCATGCAAATGCAAAACTATTTTCAAGAAAATAGCAAAAAACTCATTAAACTTTTTATTTAATTCAGCTTTATAAAGTAGGATAATTCCTCAAAGTAATGTTGTTCAATAATTTTCCAAACCCAATAAAATTGGGCAATATTCATATCGACAAATAAAAACTCAATTGTTTTGTAGAGGGAATTTAAAAGTGATTTTATACAAAATTCAAATTTTTGATTTGTGTTGCTTTTCTCGAAAACTATAGAACATTTAATTTATGCTTATTAATTGACCCATTTTTCCTAAGGATATAAATTATTGGATGCAATTAAACACACTTGCACAAAGTTTTAATTTAGTGAATGCAAACAAGAAATACAAATATACAAATTTTTCTACTTTACTTGTAATAATAAAATACCTTTTTTAATAACATTAATGTTTCCTTAATAAATAATTTCCATTTTTTTTTTCTAATCTGTTAAAATGATAATAATTATATTAGTAAATGCTTTTATTGACATTATACATACCTGGATGACTTATGTCAATTGGCAGGGTTCAGTGTTCCTTAAAGGTAGATGAACTGCCTTTAAATAACTCTGGTCTTCCACCCAATTATGTACATTTAAATTTTGTACAAGAATTATCTACTTAAGTAACAAAAAAACTAACTAAACTTCTAAAAATAAAAATAAGTGACATACTAAAAAATCAGAGAACAACAAAATATATAATATTATATTAAAAATCTGGTGGTGTCATAACACTATTTAGTAAATCATTCTTCAACTGTTTCTTAAAATTTCACGGCAATATTCATGGTGGAAGAATACAGGTGAAGCGGTAAGCGGTACGAAATTTGGTCATTCTTGCGCATGACGTCATCTTCGGAGCATATTTTTGTTTTGCCTATATCTCCAATGTTAAAAAGCGACTTTTAAAGTTATTCTAATATTTTTCTGGTAGTATTTAGAAGTTTATAGATATATTTATCTTAAAATTGAATATCATTTCTATATATCAATAGGTCTGTTTAGAAATTATTGGTACGTATTATTCAATTAATTTCTAATTAAGTTGGTAGTGTAATTGATATAAAGTTAAAGTTAGGTTGTGTAACATTTTTGTTGTATTTTATAGATAAAAAAATAGTTTCTATTCATTATTGTTATTTTAATATATCATTATTATTATTATTATTATATTATTGGTACATTAAAATTTACTATATTTTAGGGTGTGTAGTTACTAACAAAATGCCAGGTTGTGCAGTGTTTGGCTGCAAAAACTATTCAAGAAAAACAAAGGGAACAAATATTAAGTATTTTAGATTTCCGAAAACAGATGTAGCCAAAGCCTGGGTCAACGCTTGCGGAAGAAAAGATACAATTAATTTGAAAAATGGTATGATTTTTGCAAACCTAATTTGAATATGATTCATTTTATGTCTTGTTTCTTTTTTAAGCTTGTATTTGTTCCATACATTTTTCGAAGGATAGTTTCGAAATACCCTTACAGCAGAGGCTATTAAACTACTCCCCTAAGACTGGCAGAAACTTAAAACAAACAGCAGTTCCTACTGAAAATCTCCCAGTGAAAAAAAGACAATTGTCTGCAGAAAGTGACGATAGATTAAGAAGGCAGGCAAAAAGATATCGACAAACACTTATTGAGAGCTTTGTTAATATTTCGGGGCCTTCCAGACAATTGTCAACTGCAGACCAGGACAAGGAGAATCAAAGTTTCGAAACAGATACTCAAAATATATTGGTATCATCAGAACCAGAAACGTATGTACAAATTTACCTTATTAACAAAAAATATGGCTTTGAAAATAAAATTACACAACTTAGCATGTACTAATTAACATTACAAGCATTTAAAAACAATTTTTTAATTAAATATTAAACTTTAAAGTGATAATTGCTTTTATTTCAATATTAACTCTATGTTAT